TGTACCATTAATTTATTAAAAAGAAACAGGGCCCTTATTTTTCCATATAACCTTAGATAAATGTTACAGTTTCTGGTGGGGGAACAAAGTGCATTTCTAACAAATAAGTTGAATCTTTCCACAAGCCACCAATCTGAAACTCCAGTTTGTGGACTAATACATAATATTGTGATCTCAACACCAAATTTAGTCCATCAATCCAATAAATAGGTTTTCTGTTTAACATGCCAAAGCCTCTCATCTGTAATCAAGTTATTTTTATTTAACTAAATACTTATTAACAGTGAAAAATGGTATCAGTTTTTAAAGAGTTTAAAAAATAAATTTTATATAATGCGAAAACTATGCTAAATATTCAAAAGTTACTTCAGAGTCTTATGTTTTTACCTTATCTTCATCACTGTAAGTGTCAGTAATTGTAATCCCTGAACAAATTATATGATCGTTTTGGTTGCACAGATGCTAGGTCAAATGTAGAAACACAAAATGTATTTTCTTACTTAAATCCAAAACTGGGAGCTCCTTAGACCAGAGATCTAATCTCACTCATTTTTCTCTCCCATTAGCTCATGCATAATAGGTGCTTAAATGTCTGTGGTGTGAATGAAAGAACTGACTAGAAGTTGGCATCCAAAAGTTTTAATAAGACGACAAATAATGAAAAACTCAAAGTCACTGATTATAAAGAATATGCAATCCATTTGGGATTTATTGCATTTAAAGAAAGCAGATTATTAAAACAGTAGGTATGATAAATACAGTAAGAAAATAACTTTAAATTTCAAACAAAACAAAGTGAATGAGGGATAGGATTCAGTCAATAAGAATAAGCAATGTAAAGGCAATATAGTACTAAAATCAGTTAGTGCTTAATTAGATATAGGAAGGAAAAAAAAAAAGCAACTGATTCTATTTCATAACAGTTTCCCAGCTGTATCTGAGGATTGAAGTTAACTTTAGAAAGTATGGTCTTAACAATTAGAAATATAATAAAGATGAAAATCAGGTTTATTAAAAGTTAAAGTTATTTGCTTAGTGGTACATAAAAGGCTTCAGAAAATTCAAGTTTAACAAAAAATGGAAGTGTAATCAAAGAAAGTGCACTTAAAGCTGTTTGCCAGCAATTAAAAAGTAGCCTATTATTATTACTATACTGCTTACTATTAGATGACTTTCAATCACAAAAAGAGCAGTCATAAAAACAATTCTCTTTCAAAAGTAGCACAATAAATTTTTAAATAAAAATAACCCCAAATGGTGGCCCTTTGCATTTTCATCTGTCTACCTTATTCTTTTTAGTGGCTTTTGTAAACCCTCACTAGGAGTGAATGTTCTTTTAGCAATGATTGTGGTTGCAATTTTATTCAAAATGTAAAAATTCACATTAACTCCACACTAGAGAGATGTGACATGTGCATGCAAGCGTGGGTTTATCTATTTACCCTAATGTATAAACCCCACTGTGTATAAAAGTTTTCATATAAACTATCATTATGTTATTCTCACAGTAGATCTGTCAGCTCATTCTCACAGTAGATCTGTCAGCTCAACATTGGACCTAAAATGATAAATGATAAGTAATTTTGCTTAAAAAATGCACAGTCTACATATATTAAAACAAATGTACCCAAACTCCTCAGAACCAGTGATACGAATACACGTGTACCTTCTCGCAATGCTGATATGAAGTACCACAACCTAAAATAAGCCAAGCAAAGAGGAGGAAAGGGCTCTGCCTGTTGAACCCCAGAGTAGAGGAGGGGACACACGCTTAGGGTCCCTGTCACACGATAAACAGGGGAGGGTCCAAAGCTGCTTCTGTCTACAATTCCAAATAATGGCATAACTAGGCCCGAGCATGCACGCACGCACGCACACACATATACACACGCGGGGCGGAGGTCACATCAGTGGAAGAAGCACACACACACACACACATACACGGCGGAGGTCACATCAGTGGAAGAATCACACTTTCCTGATGGATACTTCTGAATATTCTAGTCAGTTTCACCCAGCCCACCACCTTTCCTCCTCCACCTAAAACATATATACCAAGCAACTTTTGTGTCCTAGCAGAATGTCTTACATTCCTCAGTGCCATAGAAGCTGGTCTTTTCAACACTTAACATTTTGCTGAAGTGGTAACATTAAAATAATTAAGCAAATGGTCCGCTTTTTAAAAGATAATTCAAAACCAAGAAGCATGATTAAAGCTGTTAGGACAGAAATAACTTTGGCCTCAGACTTTCGCTAGCTTTGTAATATTTCACTTCCCTTTGTGATGTTCAAGTATTACAGGTTTAGAGTTGTGACGACTTTACTTGCTAGAGAAGCACAGACGACAACTGATTAATAGAGACATGATTTCTTTTCAGCATTCCTTCCTTATACAAGAATTGGACCATCACATAACAGAGCCAAACCGAGCGCTGTGTGCCAAATATGCATTAAGCTCTTTCAACACGTCTTGGGAGCTTTATTCTCATAATTCTCACAAGGGAATTAGCAGGGCATCAGCTGTGTAGAGTGACCTACAGTCTAAGAGTAGTGGGAAAACATGATGGGAAATGGAAAGTGACCCTAATCCTATACTCCTTGGGAAAATTCCTCCACTTGAACACAAAGGAATCTCCCCATTTCTATCCCATTGGGTCCACTATAAGTACTAAATGTTTCCTCTCGGCTGTAATCTCAAGAGGAAAGTCATTGTGATATAACAAACAACATGACTGTCAGTATTTTAAACAATGTCGAAGTGTTTCCTTAGAATGTACCCAGCATTATAAGCCAGAGTGTCTGTCAGCGTCTAAATCATTTAAAGTTACTCAGTGTATTGAAAACAAGTGTGAGCAAGGCCTTGGTATCTGACAGACTCTAGGTATTTCATATTTACATCCCAAGGGGACCACACTGATTCATCTGTACCCCTTCTAAATTATGAAACTCATGAGGTCTAGCAGAGACAAAGGCTAATAAGGACTAAAATAGTCAAAGAAGCATCTTGTGTATACATCAACCAACAGATTTTCATTAACAGATTGTTTGATACAAACCTACTGTAGTTCATGAATTGACTATGTACAATCATCAACTCTTCACTTTTAAAAGAAAGTATCACTTGAATCTACTTTGTAAAGTTTTAAAGAACATCTACTTGAGCATTTGCATTAGCAGTATTAATCAACCTGAGAATCAGAAAGAAAAAAAAGGTGCAAACATAACATTTGCCTTTGGCACAAGGACAAGTAAAACTGGTGCGGCTGGGCTCTAACATTTACGCAGTAATGACTGTCATGACTGATCTGTCTCTGCTACACATCATTCACATATTGCTTCCCTGTTTGTCCACAAATCTGTATCTGATTTAAAACAGAAGAGAGAAGCAAGAAAACATAGACGGTTTAGTTACAGATATTTTGTTTTTTTCCAAGTTTAGAACTATGAAAACAGGCAAATAGCTCATCCCAGTTGGGGCACTATAATTGAGATTCTAATAAGATTACTGATGAAATATATTTTAATTGGGCTTAAAGCGTTAATTTAAAATACAGCAATCAAGGAGAGTGCCAGCTGATAGGAGTTTCTACCCTTTTCTGTAAATAACTTTAATGGTTCTAGAAACTTCTAAATGTTCACTTACAAGGCAGGGACAGTTAACTGTAACTTAAAATGGAGACATAGGAGAAACAGACTGTATTCACATTAATGACTTCTACCTTATTTCTATAAAATCTCAAGTTTCTGATTAGGATTTGTGATGTAAAAATCAGAAGGCAATTTGGTAGCTGGGTTCTTTTCACTAAAGACACTATCAGCTAACTAGCAGAGTTGAGATGCTAGCCCCTCATCACCTTGACACCTTACAGCCAGTCTCAGATCTTGGGTAATAGTGCAGAGGTACTTGCGGCAGGATTTGCAAGGCCTGCCCGTAAGGCTTTGTGGGATTCGCTCTTCTGTCCTCTTTATTAAAACTACTCCACCCTTCAGACCTAACTCCAAAACTGCTGCTCACCAGACGATTTGGGGAATAGTTGGTGAAGGTGGTTATTTAATAAAGCACATTATTAAATGCAACATGATTTTACATTGTAAACGTCTCAGAAACTCAGGGTTTCAGCTACATATTTTTCTCTAGAATATTTCTCTATGACCTTTGTCCTCACTCCCAGTTTTCCCAACAATCTGTCTTACTAGAGGCATGATAAAAGGTCTGAGCTAGAAGCCATTCAAAATCAGAACATAAAGTGTTCCTGAACACTACTGAGCATTGTTTCCCCTCCTCTGTATCATTCCTTTTTTCTCTCTGCTTGTCCACCCATCAGCTAGCTATCTCTAGTTTTTGTTCTAGGCTTCTATGCAATAGTCCATATTAATGGCACTTGTTTTTTTTAATGAAACAGTTTTAGGCACAACAGTCAAGTGACTTCTGGCTCCTCTTTGTAGAGACAGGTGTAAGGACAAAAATCTCTGCACTCTCCGAATAACTTTCTCATTCTTTATGAGAAATTGATATATATATATATATATTTTTTTTTTTAACCACGTGGCTTAGATTTTCTTTTTTTTTAATCCACAAATGCAATTTGTGTATATATAAGTAGCCTTAGTTCTAAATGCTAGATTCTGGAATGAGCCTGGGACGTGTGCACAAAAGTGACCTTCTCTTATAAAAATAACGCCACAGCTCCCGGCCCCTTTTCAGGGACCACACGCCTTCCCTAGACTTCCGTGCCGTCAGGTGGGTAGCTGAAACCCCAGGTTAGAACCTGCCACCTTCGCTTGCTTTGTGCCTGCGTGGAAGAGACGTGGAGGAATTACCCTGTGCAGATACTTCCTTTTTCTATTTGGTTTATTTAAAAATCGCCTATTCTGATTGACCTGTAAGAATGAATGATATAAAGAGCTATACAAATAAATCTTCTTTCAAATTCATAAAACTATTCATACTTTTTTTTCTTTGAAACAGGAGTTAATACCACGAGTCCGTCAGAAGTCCTCTACTGTTTAGAAGGAAACGGAGCAGCACCGAAGGGGTCTAATTCGACGGGCTGGGGCTGTTGGGGCTGATGGGAAGTGATGCTCTGCACCACGAGTTCTGTGAAGGGCACGGCACCAAAATCATCCATTTTCAACGCCTCTGCCCCGTGGAAGGAGCCGTGCAGTGAATTCGGCCGGGGCCTCCCGGGCAGGACCGGGTTGTGGTCAGCGCTCAGGCCCTGGTGCGGGGAGTGCCACGGCAGGTCCGGAGGGTGGAAGGGCTTGGCCCCGAAGGGGTCCAGCAGACCCTCGTCGGCTTGCAGGACGTGCCCGCGGTCCTTCCCGTCGGTCAGGGCCACGCTGATGTTCTCCTTGGAGTCCGAGATGGTCAGGAACTCGTTGCTGCTCTGCGAGTCCCGGCGGCCCACCCTCCTGTGCCGGCGGGCCCGCTCGGGGGTGCGGAAGGCGGGCTTGGCCGGCTTCTTGGCGCCGGTCGGGGTGCCGTGATGCCGTTTCCCGTTGCTCTTGGCCGCGTCCTGCTTGGTGCGCCTCTGCCGGGAGGACAGTTTCTGCAGGCTGCGCTGCTTGACTTTCTGCTGCGGACTCCCAGTTATCTCCTCGAAGGGCACCAGCCCGAAAAGGTCCTCGCCGCTGTCGCTTTTACTGGCGGACGGAGGGAAGGGCTGGAACGGCGTGGAGCCAAAGACATCCACGCTGGGGGGGCCAGCCGGGGCGGCGTGCGCATCGCGCGCCATCACCTTCTTGCTGAAGGGCGCCTTGGTGAAGACATCGAATTCCTCCTGCTCCAGCCCCGCGGTGGGAAGCCGGCTCTGCGGAGGGAGGTCCTTCTGCTCCCCCTGTCGGGGCTGCTGAGCCCGCGCTGCGAAGAAGGGGACTGCGCCAAAGACATCAAACTCGGGTCTGGGAGTCCCCGCTCCCGCGTCCGAGGGCGCGCGGGAGGGCGTGAGGAGTGCTGCGCCAGGGCCCTGGACCGCTCCCGCGCCGGCTGCGTCCCTGTAGCCCGGGCTCGCGTCGCTGTACTTTGCTTTGGCCTGCTCGTAGTCCGAATCTGAGCTGTGCTTCTCCTCCTCTTCCTCGTCTTCAGAATCCATGAGCAGCGGCCTGTGCCCCAGGTGTTCCGGTTCGGTGTCGTCGTCATTAAAATCTCCTTGTTCTCCCTGGAGAACTTCCTCATCCTCTTGCTCCTCCTCCTCGCTGCTCTTCGGAGAAGGGGGATCGGACTCAAAATCACTCTCAGATTCGTCGTTCCCCTTTTGCACTTGAGCACGTACTAATGAATTCTCTGAGGTTTTCTTTCCAGTTCGGTGGTCTTTAGAAACTGGACTTCCTTTTGTATTCTTGATAGGGTTTGCAGTGCCGTTTTCTTGATTCATGGAGGGATGTTCAATTTTCTTTTCAGGAGAACCTGCCAGTTCAAACAAAAATTGTATCATCTCAATGCATCTCAAAAATCATTTGCTGTAAACATCATGTACTAATACAAAGCCTTACAGATCGCTCATATCAGTTCCCTTACAGAAGACTTATTGGCAGTTCTTGGGTCATTAGTCTTGGGGGGGGGCGGGGGGGGTTGGGCGCTGGCCGAAAGCACTTGGCCCTAGTTTATGGTTAGGTCCTTCAAGTGCAGACCGACAGATTTGTGTCTCTACCCTACACACCACCTACTCACCACAGGTGGTCACTGACAGCTGTCTTATAGTACCCAGAATAGGACTCTAAATATGGTACACAAGCAAATTTTCTTCTCCCAGCTTCAAAATTAAGATTATCCAGCCAATTGCCCTGCTCAGATTCCCCATTCACCCCAAGCTTATGCTTCTATTTTGATTCTGTTATAAGGTTTTCCTATGGAGATCAACAAGCATGAATAGCTTATCTGCTTAGGTATGTTTCACTGTACTATTTAAAATTGGCATTCTGGGATTTTACTGTGAATAAGTATCTTATAGGCTGGGTGAACATGAGCACATCCTCATAGCCCGGTCCAAGCTGAGGACCAGTTACTGAACTGAGACGGTATCAAGGACATCTGCCTTCCCAAGAGAACACATCTTCCTTTAACTGTCATACCTGTACTAGTAGACCCTGTATTAAAAGCACTCTACCTTAATGAAAATGTTAACTGTCAGTATATTTACTGTATGGTAGGTGACAAAAATACATCAAACACAGTGTTCTCCAATTTCACTGCATGATACATACATAGTAAAGATAGAGTATGTTAGTTTATATGAAAATACATGGCCCTCCCAATACACTGGTGTACTGAATTGATTTTCCAGAAGTAGGAAACAATTTTAATTGATCCAATCACATATCCATTCATCCCTTCCCCTCTAAGATCAGATATTTTCAAAACAATTAGCTAGGCTTGGAAGTATAGTCTTTAGTCATGAAAACTAAATACCTTATGATGGATGGGCTATTACTTTCCCATGATTAAATGGTGGTCCTCATGGTACAGGACACCTCTGAGTTATTTCCTTCTCTTTGAAAGTCAGCACACTTGTCTTCCTACCTCTCTGACTATTCCCTCTTGTTCAAATTTGTTAGCAACTTCCCTTTCACAAACACTCCTTAAACACAGATGCTCCCCAGGGTCCTATCCTTGACTGCCTTTCTCCCTCTGTATGTCCTCCCCTGGGTCCTAACTACTTGTATGTTAATCAGCGTTTATATGACTGGATCTCTAATAGTTACCATGCATACTCACCTACCCTAGTCACCTAATACTCTTATCATGAATATATATATATATATATATATATATATTCTACCATTACTTTAAACTCAGTAATTTCAAAGATCTTTTAAAATGTGCTCCTCACCAGTTCCCTCTAAAGTAATGAATATCTCCATCTACCGAATTCTTCAAACTAGCAGAAATCTGGAAACCATCTTCCCCTTCCCACCAGCGTTTTTAAAATCTCAGGGGTCTGGTCCCTCTTCTCCCTCCACCAGCTGTGTATCCCACCCTCTCATCATCACCGAGCAACTCCACAGGCTTGCAGCTTGCCTGCCTGCCTTCAGTCCCATGTCCCTCAAGGCAGATCCTCTGCACTGTCACCAGAATGACCTTGTCAAAGGACTCATCACGTGGCTACTGCTGAAACCCTTCAGTGTCTCTCTAAAGTCTCCACCCACAGCCCAACACAGGGGCCCTTCTCTACCTGGCTTCTGTCCTCCGACACCGTGAGCCTCAAACCCTGATGTCTCCCATGGGTATCCTCATTACAGCCACACCAAAACTCTCCCTGCTCAAATTCAGGAACTGAACAGATGTGGACAAGGGTTTTGGGGCTCTTTTGCTGTCTAAACTGTTAAAAGTTTACTCAAACCAAGGAAATTAATAGATCTGGGGATCAAGGAGCTCTGTGCTGTTAGCCTCTCACATGTGATACTGGCCCTCAGCATGAACGCCCTTCTAGCATCCACCCCCACCTGACTTGCCCAGGGTACCTGGCTGTATTCTAAAACCTAGCCCATGTCAGAGCCCTTTTGAGGGCTCAAAAAACACCTATATTTGGTCCCTCTGATGAACTTCGTACAAGCCTTAATTGTAGCACCTACTTTAGACCCAGGCCTGTTTATCATTTACCTCATAGATCATTTCCTACTGCTGTGCTCAATCAATCAATATATGTTACGCAAAACAAGTAACGACTAAGCTCACAGCTACAGACGTACATATCTAATACATTCAGAACGCAATCAAGAAAGCTACATAGAAAAAGAAACTTCACCTTCAGAGTTCTTAGCTTAGAATCCAGTCACATTTTCTTGATTCAACAAAACATACTATAGTGTAGTCAGTTATTTAGTTGCTAAGTCACACCCCACTCTGTGTGACCCCACAGACCGTAGGCTGCCAGGCTTCTCTCTGTCATGGGATTTCCCAGGCAAGAATACTGGAGTGGGCTGTCATTTCCTCCAGGAGATTTTCCTGACCCAGGGATCGAACCCATGTCTCCTGCACTGGCAGGTGGATTCTTGACCACTGAACCACCAGGGAAGCTCTTTACTATGTGATATGTACTGAGCATAACACTGGTGAATAAAGCAAACACGGCCCCTGCCTTCAAGAGTTTCAGAGTATGTGAAGTCGCTCAGTCGTGCCCGACTCTGTGACCCCGTGGACTGTAGCCCGCCAGGCTCCTCTCCATGGGATTCTCCAGGCAAGAACACTGGAGTGGGTTGCCATTTCCTTCTCCAGGGGATCTTCGCAACCCAGGGATCGAACCCGGTCCTCCCGCATTGCAGGCAGACGCTTTAACCTCTGAGCCACCAGGGACGTGTGACTAGCGCTCTGAAATAAGAGAGCAGAGGTGTTAAGTCGTGGGGCAGGGGGAAGGGTGCATGAAGCTAGGCTGCACAGTTGCCCAAGGCCTCCCTAAGGAGATGACAGTTAAGACAGTTATGTGAGAAGCCAGCCACACCAAGGGCAGGCAGAGAGGTGCTCCAGTAACAGCTCCGGCATGTGTGAAGACCAAGTCAGGAACGGGGGTGGCTGGCGTGTCTGAAGGACTGAAACTAGATCAGTGTGCTCAGAGCACAGTGATCAAGGGCGATGCTGCTCGAGATGAGGAGGGAAAGAAAGGGGAAAGGACCAGATCGCGAGGGTCCCTCTAAGGCCATGATAAGAAATCTGGGTTTTGTTCTAAATTCAGTGTGTAATAGGGAACTGTCATGAATTATTTAAAGTGCAATAATCAGATTTAGATGTCAAAAAGATTAAGTGACTGCCATAGAGAAAAAAGACTGAAGGGGGTGGCTGCAAAAGTACCGATCAGGGAGAGGAAATTGTCGCTCAAGTTAGAAGCTGGGCTTCCCTGGTGGCTCAGATGGTAAAGAATCTGCCTGCAATGCAGGAGACCCAGGTTCGATCCCTGGGTCAGGAAGATTCCCCGGAGAAGGAAATAGCAACACATTCCAGTATTCTTGCCTGGGGAATTCCATGGATGGGGAGCCTGGCAGGCTGCAGTCCATGGGGTCACAGAGTCAGATGCAACTGAGCGACAAACACCAAGTTAGAAGTTATGGTGGCAGGGAAAACAGAAGTGGCAGAATTAAGAGATTGGAAAGGAAAACTCTGGATGGATGGTAATGCCTTTAATACAGAAGAAAAGAGGCAAGAATACACTGGGAAGTAGAGGAGATTATCAAGAATTTGGTCTGGACACAAAGCTTGAAGTATCTATGAGACAGTTAAGTGTGAGCAAAGTATCTGTGGCTTGAGCACCATGGTTAGTTTCTGGCTGGAGAAAATAGACTAGGGAGGCATCACTATACAGAGAGAGGCACAAGTCTGAACAGAGGGACCTGCAATGCAAACAGGAAAGTGCCAGAGAGGAGGACCACAGCCAGGTGAGTGCCATGTCCCCTAAGCTGAGAGAGGAGAGTGTTCCCAGGGGAGGGAACTGACCACAGGGTTGGGTGATGCAAAGAGGTCCAGTAAACTGACAATGGAAATGGCCACTGGCTCTAGTTTCATGCAGGTTGCTGACAACCTTGAAGCCGGGAACGGGGAGGAAACCTAGTGAGGGGGAGAGAAGATGCAGAGATTTCCATCAGTTATACTTAAACACAAACATAATTTTCATGCATTATTCATCTGCCAGTTCCCTGAAACCAGCCAAGAGCTATATGCTGTATCTTTACATATTCATAATAAGCTTATCTTAAATCCTAACAGATTAAAATCAAGTCAAATGCGAATTCTCACATGACTTCTCCATATAGCAGACTTCTGATATTAAAAAGCGTGCTTTTACATTAGCAAGAGCATTTATTTTCATGAATTTTTATCTCAAAGCAAAAATGTAATGGTAAAGACTTGCAACCATCCCTCACTATCTTTAGTGGGATAGTCCCTCTAAGAGACATGCTAACATATTACTCCTCAGGCGACTTGCCTACCACAGAGAGCCACAACATGCACCCCTCATTCCTGCTCGTGGACATCTCCAGGAACAGTCCAATATCTTCCCTAAGGTGCAGAATGCTATTCCCATAAGAACCTAACAGTTCTGTGGTCTCAGGCAACTGAGTATACATTTATAATGTAACCCCCCCCACCGCCACCACCACAAATCTGGACAATGCCCATCAAACCAAAGGTGCGGACATGTCGTACACAAAAAGAATGTGACTTAATGAAACCTAGTTTCCCCAACTTCCTTCACTACGAACACTTTTATTTACACACTAACACCTATTAAGCTTTAAATACAATTCTGCACAAAGCACTCAGGGGAAATGTTGCTCTATTAATTCCCCTGGAAAATTTTCCATTTCTAGGGCACTGAGTTCTGTTCCTAGAAGTCTTCTGGAACATTTAACCCAGGACAGAGGTCCTCCAACTGACCTTCTTTGGGTATTCTTATATTAATTCTAGTCTTCTAAATT